TGCGAAGCCGACGACATGCTAGCCTGTGAAATCCAGACTATCCGCTTTCGAGGGCTCCTCGACCTGCTCATTTTTAGCACCAGGTAAAGAGGGTTCCGATTAAGGTTCAAAGGGTTTTAGGGGTTACCTTACCAGCAACTGAGCTATCTGTTTGAGGGCGGCTCGACTTCAAATGTGGCTTAAAAGGGACTTGAGGATTTTCGCCTAAAAAGGGCTCAGGATCTAGCAAAGATGGTATGGCTTAGGGATTCAAAAGGGGTTTATGCTTTCAACTGGGCTGAAGGTTGCAGATAGTTAAGGCCTCACAAGGGTTTCCGAGATGAGAAGTAAGGGGTTACGGTTAAGGGCCTCTTCAACTAGGGCTGCAAGATTTTCAGAAACTGAATCAGGATTCGACACGGTTTGGTGCAAATGAGTGCAGGTTTCAGGGTTTTCAAGGTCTAGTTTAGGGTTTTGGAGGCTTAAGGGTTTAGGAAGGGTGTCAGATGCCGTGTATAAGCGCTTGAAGCTTTAGGGCTTTGCTGTTTCAGGGGCTAGTTGAGAGACGCTGGTGATTCCAGGGTACGCATGGGGGTTCCTGTAAGGGACCACGACTCAGGGTTCCGACTCTGACTATCCCTTTACAAGATATCTGTTTTCCTCATCCTGTAGACACGATAGAGTGGCATGCCGTGGCAGCTGAGGCATTGTCGAGCACCGTTCGGCTCAGTCCATTGCGTTGCGGTGGCCATGGCGGGTTTAGAGCCCTAACATGAGTCCGGAAAGCTGACCGTTTGTTCATTATCACTGGCATGGGTGATAGAAATTGTCAAGAAGTGCCGGGCTGAAATAGAGAGAGAGAGAGAGAGAGAGAGAGAGAGAGAGCGAGAGAGAGAGGGAGAGAGAGAGAGAGAGATAGAGAGAGAGAGAGAGAGAGACAGAGAGAGAGAGAGAGAGAGAGAGACAGAGAGAGAGAGAGAGGAGGCGAGAAATAGCATGTTGCCGAGCTAGATCGGTCGGAGCCTCAGGCTCTGCAGACTGGCCACAACAGAGGCGACGCCGTCTGGCCGACCCGACGGACATCAGAGTGAGAGGAAGAGACCAAACGAGAGAGGCAAACGGAGGGGGAGAAGGGCGCGATGCAGAGAGGGGGAAAACCATAGTTGCAGACTGACTGAGATGGATTTCCATGTGGGTGGGTTGTCAAAATTACGGTCCCTGTTTGGGTCCCTGTTATTATACGGCACCTATTATTTAGGGTATCTAAAATGGGGAAATTAGTTTTGACCACTACACATGTCCCATGGGGTTTTCTAGGACGCGCTGCCAGGTGGAAGATCCCATGGGGCAATGGCGACGTTATCCGCAGGATCGAGGTGAAGTGGCATTTTCAGGACCATTATGTGCAGAGCTTGAAACATGAGTTCATAAACCCTAAACCCTAAGCTTCATGAGTTCATGAGTTTCAAGCTTGATGTCACGTCTTCGGCTTCCATGGTTCAGACTCCTGGGCCCCCATGCTCGCCCAGTGCTTTTCCTATACGTTCAATGCGGGTATCTGCAAAGGAACAGGACCAGTATGCCGTGAGTTTCATGTGGTTGCCAATGCTGCACCAGCCAGGGCTTGCAGAAGACTTCACTTGCAGGACATCGAGGATGGGAACGTGCTATACGACGTCGCTTCTGCCCAGTTTTCCCATTTAGGGGAATTGGGCACCCCCTAACAGCCCTTCCCTCACTCCCGAAATCGATCTTGAGACCTGATACCGTTGCATCCGCGAAGCCCTCTTTCGTGTTCGGTGCCTGGTGCCTTGTTCGTTTGTGGGCTTTCGCTGGAACAGTGTGTTCTGTCGGGTGTGGCATTTCAGCTTAGATGCCGGAGAACCCTGTATAGTCTTCTTCCTCCAACTCCGATGCAGCAGCGGGCCTTGTGGGCGCAGGGGGAGGCTTGAGATCTCGTGCAGCAGCCAGGAGCCCTCTGGTGTATATAGGTAATTATTTTAGGCCCCTATATTGTAGTATATACCCTTATAGTATCCCTTATAGTAATAATGTCCTGGGGCCTTGAAGTCTGGATGCTTCGTGCGAGCTGTGCAGGTGGTAGCCATGGAAGACCCTTTTTGGAACACGCGGAACTGCTGCGAGAGCTGTAATGGGTTCCGCGTGGCTTTGTGCCTATAGTTAGGTGCTTAAGCTCGGGCTGCTAGGGATAGATTTCTTCGAGTTCCATCCAGAGAGTTATCAATGCTGGACGCAGCTGGAGCACTGGGTAAATGGTTGAAGAATTTTGTTTTTGTTCATCATTCCTGGTGGCTTGAGTAAGAATCTCAACAATTAACTTCAATGCGTGGGGTTTCGGGCGTCGGCTTTGCTTTCAGCATCTCCTCCGTAGTGCATGCTCTCGACGCTTGGTTCACGGACGGCTGTGCTACTTGCCAGACGCTCATCCGCGATGGCACGTTGGAGGTGTTCGAACAGGAGCGGCGACGCCTTGTGAGCGTTTCCGAAAATAGGGGACCCTCATCTAGTACCCTACTAAATAGTATGAGACCTCAGAAGCCGTGCCTGCGTTGTGCCAGTGTGCTAGTCGACATAGCTTGTTCCTTATTATACGGACCCTAAAACAAGGTACCCATGTGAATCCTGCTGGAAGCCTTGTATCCTACGGCGTGAAGCGACCCCTGAAGCTCAAGCCCTTAACCGCAAGCAAGGCTTTACGGGACTTACGGCATGTTTCTGCCAGCAACTTATTCGCTTCAAAACTCAACCTTTCAACTTTTGGTCGTCGATTCTGAAAGTTTCAACTTTTATTTCCGTGGGTTTTGGGGCAGTGAGTCAATGCTCCTAGCTTCGAATTGCCCTTCGAGTTTCGTTCTTCGAGACCGTAGCAATGCAACACGGGCAGGGCTAGTGACCATTCGACGGTTGTTGCGACACTACACAGGGACATTTAGGAGGAGCAGAGAATTCTGTGTGCATTTTTCTGTGCCCTTCCTGACACTCTCCAGCACTACAAGTTCACCCCGCAGCCCTCAGCTTCTAACCCCAATCCCCAACCCCCTACTGCAATAAAAGCCTAATCCTCAAAGAGCAGAGGACCCCGCAACCGGCGAGATCAAAACAGAGATGCACTTGCACGTGGCTTAGTCCGGCAGGGCTGCTTTCTTGGCGTGCAGGGACGTCTTTGAGAAATTGGCTGAGCTTCGGGTATTGCCAGTGCCACTGCCTGAATGTTCATTTTATTGCTGGAGCTGTTAAAAACGTGCCAGTACGATCATTACTGTCGTTGTTACCATGACCATCATATCATCACTATCATCATTGCTTTTTTTTTTATAATGAACATTGCCACCATTGCCACCTATTTGTTGTTGTGGTTCCACCCGGGCCGGGGACAGAAGGGGCCGGTGAGGCGGAGGTGGCGGTGGTGGCCGTGTTGTCGGAACGACCTGCCGCTCTAAACCCGAAACTCTTTTTTGAGGGAAATCTTTGTTGGGCAGTTACCATGACATTCGCTAGCCAAGGTGGTTGTCAGTGTTGTTTTCGTCGCTACCACTCGTGCTTCTGCAGGTTATGTCCTTGGTGCAGCATGGTTGTGTTTTGCTGAAGTGGCATTGCTCATCATTTCTGCCAGTATGTCCGTTAAATGCCGTTAGTGTTTTCGCATTTCACTTGAATGCGCTTGCAAGTGTAGTACATAAACACATGTGTCGTCTACTGCAACCGTACGTGTGCCCTCTGAGCAATCTACGAAGCAATTTGTTTTGCAGCTTATGTTGGGCATGCCACCAGTGTGGCTATTCTGCTACTTGAGTTTCTCAGCCAGTCTTGATGTGCAGTGCGCTTGTTTGCAAACACCATTGTGATGTTTGCTGCTGTTCCTGTTGAGGCCGAGCAGCCTTTCGGGCAATGCCTACCGAAAGAGTATGTATACCACTCTAGAGAGGGGCCGCAAAGGATCCCCCCCCCCCCACATTCCGAAAATCTGTTTGCATGAAGGCCCAAGCTACAACCTGGTCAGATTGTGGCGGCAGTCGCGCTGCCCTCAGTACACAGCTGTTTCAGAGCTGTGCTGGTCTGCTTTTACTCTGCGGAGTATCGTAGCACTCGGGCTTTCGGGTTGTTTCCCATGCTGCCCGGTTCAGCAGAGCTTATAAGGTTTGCAGGTTCGTGCTGTGAAGGCATTCACGCTGTTTTGAGGGTGGGGATTCTGATAGTTCACATGTCGTACATAGTAGAGTGTAGAGTTACATCTCGACAAGCAAATGAGGTGATAGATGCCAAGTTCGCTCTATGCCGTAAACATGACCGTCTGTTGGTTCGAGATGTCTTCGTTCTGCGATAGGAAACTGCGAACTCATTTTGTCTTACTGCATGTAAAGCCGGAACCTTGAGCTAGCGCTGCTGACCATCCCTAAACCTTAAACGATATAAAGTCTACTGTAAACCCGTACCTACGTTTGACGAGAGTCGCGTGGAGCCTTAATCATGAGGCCCGCGCATCCAGGCCTTTCAGGGCATCCTGAATCTATGGATCTCATATATGGTGGTCCCATGTGGTACTCCCACAAGTCTCAAGTTCTACACCCTCCCCCTGCTTTTATAATGCCTAAGCCCGAAAAGTCCTAAGTTCCTAGACTCTAGCATCCAAGCCCCTTGTCTACATTGTCGTTGCGTCCGCGGCGGCCACTGGCTTTGTAGTCACGAGAGCCATGAGAAAGCATAGGTCTTAGATTCAGGGAGCCAACGCTGCAGCACATCGTTACTTGGAGTGAAAGCAGCTCGACTAGAGATTGCAACCCAGCTTCTGCTTGGTCTTCCCGCACTCTTGTAGTTGAGGATATGGATTCGGCCTCCAGCGCGAGTTAAAAGCAAAGGTCATCACATCAGCCATGCTGAGTTTGTAGAAGGCATGTGCTGCAGCCCAATTTTGCAGTTTGCCGAACGCGTCGAGCAATGATCTGTGCTCAGCACCATGAAGCAAGCCAAGCTAGGAAAAGCTGTTTGCAGCTTGCGGAAGCATGGCCGATCTACCTTGTAACGGAATCGCCCGCTATGCTTACATTGGCTCCTGGGATGCATTTACCATTTCTGCATTCGGCAAGTGGGCCGTCAGAAGATGAGGTGCAATGGTAGCTGTACTGACAAAAGTTGTGCAGACTCTCGATGTCAGTGTGTCGGACAAAAGCTACTCCGTAGATACTCCATATCAGTGTATGCCACCACCGTCATCACCACAACCGCAGCAACACCTACAGCGGCGACAAAAACAGGGACCAGAACAAGCCTCCGGACAAGCACGAGGACATGTACGGCAGCAACAACAGCATCAACAACAACATCAGCCGCAGCCAGGACAACATCAGCATACAGCAGCCGCACCACTACTACCGCCAGCACCCCGACTTCGATTCCCGGGATTCCTACAGTACTTTCCGATTCTGCATCGGGCTTTAATGGCATGTGGGGCGCTGCAAGAGAAGCTCCGCCGAGGTTCCAGCATAGATCCGAACTCCGTGTCCATGCACGCGGGACGGTGACCTTGCGTCGCATCTACAGCCCTGAACCCCTGCAACTTGAGCAGTACATCAAGATATAGATTCTGCTGATGTGCGCGACGTACGTAAGCGTTCCTTTCCTTAAGCCGGAGCTACACACAAGGCTTCTTCGTGCCTGGGAAGGTCATGCTTCCAGGCACATGTCAGGCCTTTACAGCAAGCAATCGGTCCAAGAGAATCTTCAGAAATCCTGTTTGGTGCACGGCCCGAATGCTGTTGCTCAACTCCCCAACCTCGAATAGGAAGGTTACATAAGTAAACAAAATGTGCAATATACAGTTTCAGCCATTTGGAATGTGTAGAATATTCGGAAGATCTAGGTGTAAGCACAGCCTGTCATCCATACACATCGTTGGCTTCGCGGTTGCAACATGATGCATCTCATGTTTATTGTTTTTTTGCGGTTGCTTTTTGAGGCGGGGCGCAGGGGGAATTTCAGGATTCCGTGAGGGCGGGGGGAGCAAATAACCCTCCACAAGCCCCAAACCCCTACTATAGGGTCCTAGTAGATACCTGAACTGGTTTGGGGGGTTCTTATTGTAATTATAGTGAACAATATCCCAAATCACTATTCTAATTGTTAAGGCCCCTACATTGAACTTTAACCGTAACCCCACATTTCTTGCAGGAGAGGAGCTGACTGTGCTGGAGAAAAGCCATGATGGGACCTGGATGCTCATTGCCCTTGAGAACGGCACCTGATGCAGACATCTTATGCTTGGTATCGATTTGTGATGGTGTTGAATTGTCCTTAGTTAGTGCTTTATTCTAGAGCCCTAGTTGTAGATGTTCTTGGGGACTGTTGAAATCGACATATGATGGGATCCAATAGCTCTTCAAGCTAGTTCGGACGTTAGGACCGGCTGTTGACGTTTGGAGATAAAGGCTTCATGAGGCCTAGGCTTTCCAGTACTGTTGAACGAGTCACAGGCTGCGCTTAGCGGAGTGCCACCTACCCCAAAGTGCAATCCCAGCAGATGATTTTGAACATGCCCAGTCCTTCCTGAATCGTCAGCCGTCACCCGACCCCAACAGCTGTTGAGCGGAATCGAACACGTGAAAACCTAAGAAGACCGGAGTTGGATCTGGTCCATTTGCGACGTGATATACCGGCCTGGGTAATTACCGATACCATTCTGTAGGGCATTGGACGAATAAGCCTCTATCTTGATGCTTACATTGCCCGGAAGCCCATGAACAAAATAATGAACAACCCATATACATACATATAGACACGTGTTTATTTATCTAACTAGCTATCTAACTGTCTATCTATATGTGCGAGTATGTGCATACCCAATTTGTGAATGTGTGAGTATGTACGCGAGTATGCATGTATGCATGCATTCATTCATCCATGTATGTGTATGTATGCATGTATACTTATGCACGTAAATACGTATGTGTGTTGGCCCTATGTATATATATATATATGCACATGTATTTAGTATGTATACATTCGCGTGTGTATATACATGTGTACATATATAAACATATATTTACACATGTGTATATGGTTACGCATATACGTTTACATATGCATACATACATACATACATACATACATACACAATATACATATGTTGTTTTTTCTCTCTCTCTCTCTCTCTCTCTCTCTCTCTCTCTCTCTCTCTCTCTCTTTATATATATATATATATATATATATATATGGTGCCCCCCCCCCCCCCCCAATGGATCTGGATCCACCGTTTGTTGGCTTCATGTACGCGCCGTCGACAACGTCGTTAGACAGTTGTTTTTTCAAGGGCCCAGGGCAAGGGTTTGGGGGTTTAGGGAGCCTAACTGAAAAACGTAACTGACAAAACGTAACTGACAAAACCTAACTGAAAAAACCTACCTGAAAAAACTTAACTGAAAAAACTTAATTGAAAAAACCTAACTGAAAAAGCCTAACTGAAAAAACCTAAAAAACCTAAATCTCGAGAGTCTTGTCATGGATATCTCTCTGAAGGACTTCCCGAGTTTAGGTTTTTTAGGTTTTTTAGGTTTTTCAGTTAGGTTTTGTCAGTTAGGTTTTTCCGTTCGGCTCCGGGCACACTGTCTGAAGCTGTTTGAAGCCAAGTGCTCAGTTTACACATTCTGCGTTCTGTATTCTCGATCGGGCCATACGGATGCGGTGTTTGAGCGCGCGTCGTCGCTTCCCGACGAGATGATCGCAGAGACTTGAGACTTTACACGTTGTGTCTGAGTTCAACTTGTTTACACGATGCTGATGCTCATAATGCTTCCTAAAAAGAGCACATATTCTAAAGTGAAGAACCTCAGAACCAAGCCGTGCCTACCTACAGAAAACGAACTGTTTGTCGGCTACCTACTCGATGGCACTTGTTCGCATCTTTAAAGCTTTGCTGTAATGTTTTTTCCTTATGTCACTTGTTCATGAAGCTTGTGCTTTATGTGCCGAACATGTTTACCAGGATCTCGAGTGCTTCGTGTTGGTGAGCGGTTTTTCAAAATGATGGCAAGTGGTGGAGAACATCTTAGTCAAGCTGAGCGTTCATTCTTTGGTCTGTAAATAGTAAATATTGGCGAAATCACCAATGGGTATTCAACAAGATTCATAAAGGCATAAAAGGTTTCTATAATCTATGGGTATCTATATGAAATTCTTTAAGATGTAAAGAAGGATTATCGTGTAAGGTGTTCTATATGCTCTTGTTTTTGATTTCTTCATTGGGCACATAGCAGGTATAGCGCAGAGCATTCTGCTCCTGATTTTCCTCCCATTAACCCGTTATCTATAAAGTATTCTACAAGGCATTCTATGGTGCATTTTACGGCTATGTTATAGAGTCTTTAGGACTTCCTATGGGGTACTCAGAGGGTATCATAGACATTGTGTATATTCTGTAAGCTAGTCTGTAGGGGATTACAGATGATTTCTACAAGGCCTATAAAAGGCCTAGTATGTAACGTTGTTTTGGGCTCTCTATCGGGTACTCCATAACGCATTGTGTAAGGGGTTGTACAAGGCATCAACATGAACGTAGAAATTTTCTTATAGAACGTATTCTTTAACCTAATGTATAGGCTATACGGCTATAGGGTACTCAAGAAGGTATATATGAGGTATATAGGGGGTATTCTATAACGTATTACCTAGGGTCACCTGCACGAAATTATTTTGAGGCTTGTGGTATCCTTTAGGTTATTCTCTTCGACTCCTGGATCACTCCTAGAAATCCCTTACCCAATAGGCTGCTTCCTTATGAGGGGTTCTCAGATCTTGGGCTCGTTGAAAGGTTATCTATAGGTATTCTTACTTCCCAAATACCTATGGGGGTGTAAAAAGTTTAATTTTTCGCAATAAGATTACCTTATTAGCGGACAAGAGTTGAAAAGCTGGGTTTTGAGCCACTAAGTATTATATGGGTTCAGGGTATATATATATATATACTGTGTACAAGGACTGTCATGTATAGGGCCATATGGGCATTCTGTAAGGTCTTCTATAGAGTATTCCAGACGGTCTTCCATGAGGCGCACGACATATAGAGGGTACTATGTGTTCCATAAAGTATTCTGTACGGCACTCTATGTCGTATTCTGTAAGGTACTTTAGATATTCAAAAGATATACGGACCATGACTGAAAGTATATGATAAGGTATTCTAGAGGCTCTAGGGTATTCAATAAGGCATGAGGGTATTCTATATCAGTGCATTCCATTTGAAAGGTTTCAAGATACATAGAGAAAGTATTCTACAGGACATCCTATAAGATATTCTATATAGTGTCTTGTATAGAGTGCCCTATAGGGTATGTGTAATATAATGCGTGCGGTGTTGATATATGTGTTCAAGGCATATACTGTATACATGGACTGCCATATATAGGGCCATAGGGGCATTCTGTAAGGTCTTCTATAGAGTATTCCAGACGGACTTCCATGAGGCGCACGACATATAGAGGGTACTATGTGTTCCATAAAGTATTCTGTACGGCACTCTATGTCGTATTCTGTAAGGTACTTTAGATATTCAAAAGATATACGGACCATGACTGAAAGTATATGATAAGGTATTCTAGAGGCTCTAGGGTATTCAATAAGGCATGAGGGTATTCTATATCAGTGCATTCCATTTGAAAGGTTTCAAGATACATAGAGAAAGTATTCTACAGGACATCCTATAAGATATTCTATACAGAGTGTCCTATAGGGTATGTGTAGTATAATGCGTGCGGGGTGTATCATATATAGGTGGTCTTGTATACGGTATGCGACAGGATATTCAGATGGATTTCTACAAGATATGAAGGTTATGAGAGTGGAATTTTGCAAAGTATTCCAAAATGTAATCTAAAGGGTGCTTTACTGGTGAAATACAAGGTATTGAACCCTGAAAGGTTTTCTAGATTTCGTGTTCACGGACATTATCCTTTATCTCGATGCGTCTTATATGGGAGGTGTAGAAATAGGGCCCTCTTTTCATATCTATACTTGTCGTGACACAATGTTATATGGGATGATATATCTTTGCTCTCCTGTTGCGTGTTACCTTCAGAGCCCATACTGCTGCATGCAAAGACCTATACACACACAGAACATGCATGCAAGCTTGCGTTCTTTTGCAACGAGAAGAAGCCGTACGCGAATGTATGTCGCTTGGAAAAACTCAGGGTGTATATGAAGGGAATGCAGAATGTAGGATATGCGAAATCTTTGATGCAGTCGAAGCGTATTTAGTGAAGGACTTGCAAAAAGAAGGGAATACGTTATAGAATATCAGCTATTTCGCATCCGGCTCTCAAACACACGAAAAAGGTGGATCCTTGAGGGGGGGTAGCATATATATATATATATATAGATACATATGTCTGTATATGTATACATGTTGGGTGTATCTGAGCAGGGGGAGTTATGTACTCGTTTTTGTAACCCGTCAAGGCCGAGGAGTCTCAGCCGTACCGGATTTTAAGAGCCCTGCATTACCAAGGCTTTGTTGGGCCAGTAATCAGCCGAAGCAACCGGGGTTGTCAAGAGTTGGGGTCACGTACAGGGGTCGGAATATTTGCCGATGCTACATACGCCAAAACCCTCCATCAATGATAACTTAACTGGAGCTCACTGTAGAGAGCACACCCCGCAAGCCCCGGTTTAGGGTCAAGTGGAACTGTGATCTTAGAAGCACATGGTAACCTGACAAGGGGGGATGAGTTCAATCGGAAATCGTGGGAGCCCAGCCCTTACAGTTCCCGCTAGTACCTGTTATAGCACGACCCGAAGGCAAACACGGTTGGGTTCCGACCATTTGCTTGGCCCTTGAATCTCTGCCAGCCGTTATTTCAGGGTTCAGGGCTCGCGTTTCAGAGCTTGCTGGTGCCAATGACTTCTGTGGGAGTGGGATGCTCTCTTATAATAGAGCTCAAAAGATCTTGGCCATGCTGGTGGCAATGACTTCTGTGGGAGTGGGATGCTCTCTTATACCTAGAGTCTAGAGCGGTTGGGAGCTAGGCGACTCGGCTTCGGGGTTGCAGGGTTCTGCGTTTGGGTCAAGGCTTGCTTGTTCCTGCCTTCGGTCAGGGACGGATGGGGATTGCTTGTCGTTTGGACTTGGGTTGCTGACAGTGACGATTTCGTTTGGCTAAGCTTGGGGTGGAACTTTCCTCAAGTTCAACCAGCCCTTGCTACAAACACCGACGGCAAAGTACGGTCTTATTGGTGATCATATTAAACTCTTACACGACCGCCATCATGATGTTTGTTCTGCAGGCTTTCGACAAGCTTCAAGACTTCTCCCCACGGCCCTCAGCCTTATAACCCTCAGTTACCCTTTCCCCCACCTTCCAACCGGTGCTTGATAGACCTTGTAGCAGGTCCGCGCATCTTCACGAAGACATAAGCCACAGACCGTAAACAACAAACGACTCCCAAACATCCCTAAGCCCCAAGTACAAACCCAAAACAAACCCACCCAAAACCCCGACGAAAAGACCCCAGAAACCTCAAACAACTCCAGTCCTCCGCGACCTCATCAGGAACCTCGACGCGAGCAGCGCGCGGAGTCGCCCAAGACCGTGGAATCGCCCAAGACCGTGGAATCGCCCAAGCGTGTGGAGTCGCCCAAGTCTCTGCCTACGACTCCGGCGCCTACCTGTGAGCCCACGGCCCCTGGGATCAGAGATGTTTAGAGAGCTCTCGGGTTTGGGTTTTTGGATTGAGGTAGTGGGGTCTGTGGGTTGTGGGTTCGTACTCAATCGTCTCCAGTCTGACTTTGGGCTTCAGGTTGTGGGATGTTGTGGCTCCTCAATCTTCCAGTTTAATCTTCGAGCTTATGGGTTTCAGAGTTTCCTCATGCGACTAACCCATGTTGGAAGCTCTGCGACCAGGAGGACAGAAGAAGTCCGGTAAGCAATCAGCTACTCCCCGGTCATTCCTCGAGAAAGTCTTGGAGAGGAGCCTGCCAGTGAGAAGGTTCAGCTACGATAGGAGGGAGGCTGTGGCCCAAAAGGCCTACATTTGTTGGGTTCTCTCTCTCTCTCTCTCTCTCTCTCTCTCTCTCTCTCTCTCTCTCTCTATCTATCTGTATATTTATATAAGTTTCAGGAACCCAAAAAAGGTAGGTCTTTTCGGCTGCAGCTAGAGTTTGGGGGGTAGGGGGGATTTCACAGCCAGAAAACTCCAATCCATAACGAGTCCACCGTTGCATAAATCAAGCAGAAAGCTTTCCAGTTCCATCGTCCTCTACACTTCCGGAAACCAAAAGCCTCGAAACTCTGGACACCCCTTGTTGCTATGGACCTGAGAGCATACCTTTTCATAGGTTCCCCACTAATCACTTATCTCACCAAGGGCATTCTTCCTCCTACTACGACTACTACTATTTGAACAATATCACAGAAATTAGGAGGATACCGTGGAATATGGGTGCCATCGAGGAGACCAACCTCTTGGGCTCAAAACATCGCCCCAAGGAGGCCCCGTTGCAAGCCCCGCAACAGCCCAACTCCAATGTCTTAGAGTTTTAAGGGGACCCTGTTTAACCCTACTTCTGGGTCTCTTAAACTCCTATGTCGATGTTTCTGACAAACCGGTACATTCTGAACGTGTTGCACCTCATCCACCAATAACCTCGCCTGGCTTGTCCGAGTGCGACCGCCGAAACCTTAAGGCCGTACACCCCAAGCCCTAAGTCTTCAGGTCATCGTTACTCACCCGGAGTACATGGACCACAACACGAGGTCTGGCCGCGCGCTTTGCGTTGGGACTCCAGGGATCACTATAGGGTTTACCTATAGTCTCCATTGTAGTTCTTTTTTTGGTTTAACCAAATATATAATTAGGATCCTATAAGGTAGCCCCAAAAGGAACTACAATGGAGACTATAGGTAGGGTCCAGGGGTTTGTCAGCTAGAGCGCTTCTCTTGGATTCATCTGTTGTTCGTATTTTGCTAACCACTCCGAGGGATCATAAAAAGCACTGGTTGCGTCGTTATGGTTCTAACGGCGCTTAAGCAGGGCCTGCATAGTTTGCAGTAGGGTTTGAGGTATATTATGCTGCGGCCAAGGGAGTAGCATTGCTTGGTTTTAGGCCTCCGCAGTACAATGATTCGGCTCAACCTTCGAGGTGCTGTCGGGTTATGGAGGGATAAGGCGGGTCTTAGAGCCCCAAACCCCAACCCTTAAATCCTAAGAAACCGACTTTTTCAGGGTTCCTGATGTCCTTATATAAGTCTTGAAAAGGTAGGCTATTTGGAACCCTTAGACGGAGCTTCCCTGCGCTGCCAGCACGAACGGAGCCTAGAAAGACTAAACCCTGCAGATGTAGTTACTCTGGTTACTAGATTTTGCTAGGTGCTGGTATTAATTATCCTTAGGGTTCCTGGTTATAAATCTACTATAAGGTGCCCCCAGAACCCTATTCGAAATTGTGGAGGGTGGCGCCCTGGGGGCCCCATACAAAGCCGAAAGTCTAAGCGACAATGCACAAAACATCGCAAGACCTTGTTTATAGGGTCCTTAAGGGAGGGTGGTTCAAGGGGGGAGGGTACAAGAGATCCTTAGCCCCCTCCCATAAGGATACTATAACTTGTGTGTGGAAAAACAGGGCCCCCACAGCGTCCCTTTCTGAATCATTAAGGGTTGGCCTCGGAGAGTAATTCCTATGCCGAAAGATGCCTGCTTAAGATAAGGGCATGTGGGCTGCCAAGATAACGCTTACGGCTTACGCTAAGGATCCGTTAATTAATTGGAAGCTCTGCAGTAAGGTCAAATTTTTTGGATGTCGCCAAATCAAAAACCCCTGCACCTGACTGAGCTTGAGCGGAAGATGCGACACTAATCTCGGGATTCGTCACGGACTTCCGAGGGTTTGAGAATGATGCGCAGTGCTTCAACAAACCGAAACGCTCCAACCAAAACCCGGAATCGCAAAGGAATCTCCACGTCCACATCCGCATCCACCCACACACACACACGCACACACACACACACACACACACACACACACACACACCGTTTTGTGGTGGCCAGGCGTGAGCTCTTGCGAACGATCTCAGATCACCAGCAGGGCCTTACCCCAAAGGTGGCTTGTCCAAAGGGAGGTGTTGCAGATGGCAGATCCGGATTCGTTGACAGGCCAGTGATTCAGGGCTTGAATCTGAAGGTGCATGTTGATTTCTAGAAGTACTGCGTAATTAGTAGGGTAAGTATTCGTAGTAGAAGTCGTAGTAGAAGTAGTAGTAGAAGTAGTAGTCGTCATCGTAGTCGTAGTACTAGAAGTATCTGTATGAGCAACAGTATTAGTATGAGTATCAGCATTAGTATTAGTATTAGCGTGTGTACGAGTATTAGTATTAGTATGATCATTTGTATTTGTGGTGGTATTAGTATTAGTACTTGTTAGTATTGGTGTTGGTATGAGTATGAGTCTGAGTACAAGCATTACTATCAAATCATTATCAGTACTACTGTTATTAGTAGTAAAGCATTGCTGCTAGAGCTACCAGGTTCCCTTCATGGCACAGGTAGCAGTGTCAAGTGTGGAGCCACAACATGTCATGTTTCTGCGTGTATGTCAATATGCCGGTAGATAGGTAGGTTAGTGGTAGGTAAGTGGGTAGGTGATAGGCGCAGATAGGCAGCTAGGATTCAGTAGGCAGGCATCTCGGCAGGCTGGCAGGCAGTGGGTCGGTACAGAGGGAGCGAGACATGACCTGGGTACGCTTGTGCGAACGATCCCATGAACAGGTGTTTCGATGCGCGGGTTATGTGCACAGTTGGTGCGTGCCGCCCATGTTATAATCGATAGATGGTCACCGATAGTCGAAACCACGCAGCCCCCGAGGTCCGAATAACAAGCAAACGTAACGCAGCTAAGCCCAAAAATCCCTAAACTTTACTGCCACAAGCAAAGGAAAAGCTGGGTCTCTTCAATTCCAAGATCCCACGATGCACCTGCTGCCTGACTGCAGTCTTAGGGGGTTCATGGGGAGTGCCAGTGGATGACTTTCAAGACTAGGGGTGCTTTTCGCGGACGCCCCATTCATAAATATCTATAGCAATCGCGGCTGGACATCTATGCATCTGTTGGGCTGAGCTTGGCGATGTTCATACAGGGCTTGTACCTTGACATTAGAACCCGAAGCCCTAAGGCCTATATATATATATATATATATATATATATATATATATACATATATATATACACATATATACATATGTATACATATACACATACATACACTCACATACTCTTTATCGTCATGTCCTTTGGCTGGTAGGGAGGTTTGTGGGTTCGTGAAGTTCGAAGCCCTGCGCAAACCCTAAGCGCTGAGCTCCGTAATCATAAGATCCCAAACCTTGAACCTTGAAGTAAGCGTCCGACCTTTGAAAGGAAAAGCTCCACCCTAAACCCTAAGCCCAGGTGCATCATGAGTTGCCGACCCGAACGCATGGACCTCGTCTGGCTTGCCCGAGTTGCGAGAGTTTAAACCCTAAGCCCCCTATATAGCCCCAAAGCCGCACAAACCCGTCCGAGCTGAGGCTTCGAGGGGCTCAAACGACTCTGCGGCTGCTGCGCAAAGTGACCGCTTGCAGATTCCGGTGGAGCCCTGCGGATCTTTTAATGTTCAGGTTTGGGCTTCCAGCGCAGCATCTTTCCAAATCTTCACACGTACCTTCCGTACGGTTCGTTTAGATACTGCAAAGCAATGAAGGACTGAAGACATGTCCCTATGTGCGGTCTTACATGTGAAGGTTGGTTGCCCTGAAGCCCACAATTCTTGTGGCAGAAGGTGCCAGATGAGTTGGGAGCACGAGATGGAGAACCGAAAAGCTTCGTTTGGGAATCATGTAGGACCTTCACCTTTTTCTTGGTTTTACGCCCAACAACAACAACTACTACTACAATTACAACTACTACTACTAACTACAACTACTACTACTACTACTACTACCACTACCACTACCACTACCACTTTCACTACCACTACCACTACCACTACCACTACCACTACTACTATTACTATTACTATTACTACTACTACTACTACTACTACTACTACTACTACTACTACTACTACTACTACTACTACTACTACTACTACTACTCCTACTCCTACTCCTACTCCTACTCCTACTGCTACTGCTACTGCTACTGCTACTGCTACTAATACTGCTACTGCTACTGCTACTGCTACTGCTACTGCTACGACTACTACCACCACTACCACTACCACTACCACTACCACTACCACTACCACTACCACTACCACTACCACTACCACTACCACTACCACTACCACTACCACTACTACTACTCCGTAGTAGTAGTAGTAGTAGTAGTAGTAGTAGTACTACCAGTAGTAGTAGTAGTACTACTACTACTACTACTGCTACTACTGGTACAGAAGAGTACGGGGAGTAGTTGCATGTAGCCCCAACGATAACGACGATCAGCAGCCTGCTTCACCTTCTCATGCGCTGTTTGGCCTCAATAGTTCTTGCTGACAATTTCGGGAGATTGGGTCAGTCGAAGCGCAGATTGCCGCGGTAGAACACTGAGTTTCAGTTGTTTCACCACTGAACAGCCATCCCAGCTCATTCACTGGCCTCTTGTGCTGCATCTCGCCCCGGCGAGGATAGATGGAAAAAGCAACTGTACCTTTCAAGGCAAGGCGTTCGTCATCTGGTCTCGTCGGAACCCTGAACCCAAACTCTATGAACAACTGCACTTGTGGTTTCACATGTGAAGAACCCCAAACCCTCCTTGATTAGCGCAGCGCCGGCTTTAAAAGAAACAACTCACGTTGCATTGCTAGGCCCCGGCCCAACATTCAAGTCTGTTTGCTCCATGCCCCTCAGTGCCAGCAATGATTATGGCATGCTAGAGTCCCACAACAGACGTGCCATTGCGACACAGTACTCCGTGGATATAATCATGCCCCATGCCAACACTGGCCCCAAGCAATCACCTTGGCCACAAGCCAACTGTTAACTTAGCATCTCAGGGCAAGATGGGCTGGTCCTTGTAAAGTCTTGATGTATCGGGAACATCGACATGTGTGCGCGCATATACAGGCCCATTCATGAGCCACTGATGTTGTCTTTGTCCTTTTGCGCTAAGTTTCGACCCCAGTTATACTGCCGTGTCTGGTGTTTCATAGCGGCATGCCCTCCGGGGCTTCAATTGGGGAAATCTGGGCCCACTGGGCGAAAGTGATCTATTGGCGGGGAGTGGCGTTTCGGAGAATATGCTCTCCGAGGCCACTGTAGCAATGATCTGATCGAGGGTCTATACAAAGCAAGACTGCACCATGATTTTTATTGCAAAACTAGAAAGTTGTACAACTTCGAAAAACTTCGACACAACCGTAGATTGAAGTTCCCACGCCCTGCAGCTGAGGCACGACCTTTCAACGGCATCGGTGGCGCACGCCTGTGGTCACCAATGCCAGGTGGTCTATCGTATCAAGCGTTTTCAGTCTGAGAACTCGGGAGGTTGGAAAGAACCTCAACCCCAACCCTTGAAGTTTCGAATCGATTTCACGCGAAAAGACAACATTGACTACAGAAAGAGGTCCTGGGCAGGGGAGCCGCGAAGAGCTTTGGCAGGGGCCTCAGAGTGCAGCAGGACTTTCTGCGTATTTTTATCCAAGTCGAGGATTTACTGTCGGACGGACAGATGCGCTGGATTCATGTGTGATTTTTTCAGCCTTTGTGTCTGGGCTCATTGGCCTGCAGAGTGTAGTGTAGTGTTGTACACGCGCCTGTATGTACCTCAGGTCACAGACGTGCACGTATGCAGACTAAAACATCTATAAGTATGCGGAGGGGCGCTTGGCAGCAGATGCGCGCATGCATGTATGCTGTCGCACGAGCGTCAGTGGTTAGATAGACAGATGGACGGGTGGAGAGAGAGAGATGATAGATGGATAATTTGGAAGAAAGGCAGGCAAACAGGCAGATAGACAGACATGTGTGTGTGCGCGCACATGCATGTGTGCGGCACTGCCCGTAGTGTAGGCTTGCCGTGCTTGATAAACGGAATTGTTAAGGCCAATGCTGAATAATCAGAGGCTTCCGGGGAGAAAGCGCCCGGAGCGTTCTTTGTCCTGAGCCGCTGCGAAGGACCTGGGACCTGTGCACTCATGCCACGGAGCCGGAGACACAGATGTTTCCCAAGTGCACGACACATCGAGACTTACATGCTGCGGGCTTCAGACGCGTTTCTTGAGAAGTTTCACTTAGGTTCGGAATTAAAGCGTTCGCTGTGCTGCTCTTGAAGCTTTCTTTCAGCAGCCGAGAGGCAGGCTTTCCTGTTTGCTGCAAGTGGCCATCGCCCCAAAGTCCCGAAACGCCGAAGTCCAAGAAAAACCCTAAAGCCAAAGCCGTTGCTGTGGGTTTGCTTGGTACTAGCTTGCCTTGGGCAGAGGTGAGAGGTAGATGAGTCATAGTGAAACACGGAAGTATCACACCGACCCTCGCCGAGAACCTCGCTGGCATGCCCGAGTTGTGAGAGCGTACACCCCAAAGCCCTACACCCTCAAACCCTGACACCCTAAAACCCACATCCTGAAACCTAAACCCGAAAAATCCGGACCGAGCGCTCAAAAGTCACGGCACTCTACATGCTCTGTGAAAACAGCCCAGAGAGAATGAGAGGAACTTTTCAACAACTTTGGGTTTAGCTTATAGGATTTTCTTAAAAACGAGATGTCAGAGACCCACCCAAACTCCAAAACCTTGGTTCAGAATAAAGCGGCTTCTTTCACCAAGTCTTGGCGCAGTGAATCAAATCAAAGCTGCAAGGGCTAGGGTGCCTTCAAAGTTGCATTTTTCTCCTCGGTTCAATGCAGTAGGCCTCTCAAGGTATGTGTTTTGTCGTTTTCCTAAACCCTCCCTAAACCCTAAACCCTAAACCCCTAAAGCCTAAACCCTGTAAACCCTTCAGCAACCTCTTAGAGGGAGTCGGGTCTGAGAGAGTCTAGCAGTCGTCCCGATCAGACACTGCGAGCAGGTACCTCTTGATAAAGCAAAGCATTTCGGCATGTCCCGGAGTCGACGAGCCTTCTACGAGCCTGTAGAGGTGAGATAGTAACGCTGCACACGCACATGACTTGTCGAAGAAGTAGTCTATTCTTGCTACAGCACTTAAACCCTATTCCCTCAAGGCTCTGTGCCCAAAGGGGCAGCCGCATCTGATTGCTACCAAGGGCCGACATCCCACACGTGGTTTACATGTTGGAGGACACTATGCAGTGCTTGCCCCAGGTGACTTCTGCCATGAAGCGTTTGAGCTTTGGGTATAGTGTAGGAACCTGATTGAGAAACCCTGTGCGGATAACCCCAATATATTAGGATTCATATAAGGAACCCTAACAAAGGGCCAAGGTTTCTTACTCAGGTTCCTACATGAAACCTCTGCATGAGTTTGCGAGAGGGAGGTGGTCTGAGTTGTGCAGGGGTCTCCGCTAGTCCGCTAATTCCGACCGAGGGAGCAATATAGGTAGTTGTCAAAATTAGGGCCCCCCTTGTGGATACCTTAAATATTAGGTGCCGTATTATATTAGGGACCCAACAAGGGACCATAATTTTGACAACCACCCATATGTGCAAGGGTGTAAGCAACACTGGGAGGCTCCGGCGGACAGCGCCTATTGTGGCGGAAGCATTCCAACAGAGCTTTACCCATAGGCCCCATAGTAGTTCCTTTTGGGGGTTCATATTTTGAACCCTATAAGGTAATCCCAAAGACGGACTACTGTCGGGCCTGTTGCCTCTGGGTAGACTTGGATAAGCTGTGGTCGGTCCCGGACTCACGGGAAAGAGCAGTTCTGCCACGGGGCGGTCGAAGTCGCTCACCCCTACACGAGATCACGGCTACCGGAAGTGTTGGAGCCATTTTAGAGTGTCGGGGATATGCTGCGCAGTCTCAGCAAGCGATTGAAAGCTGTGGTAAATCGACGACATGGAGCTCAGATTGTGCCAAGGGCGTACCGGATGCTTCGACCGGAAGCTGTCCATTCCTCAAGACCTCAGAATCTCAGCAGAGCAACACTTCCGCAGAAAGAGATTGCCGTGTTGTTTCCACCTCGGAGCCCGAACTCTCGGCAGCAATCGTGCAGGCTTGAAGTGGTTCTTTGAAGGACAGAGCCGGAGGGGAAAGCATCTGCTTGCCCGAAGCCATCCATGGCGCCGGGATTTTAAGCTTGAGGGCGGTGGTCGTTTGGCTCGCCATAAACTCCCACGCCGACGCCAGACGCAAACCCCAATCCATGAGCTTAATCGTTGGCTCCACGTCCTCACCGGTACGGAAATACTACCCTCCGCTGCCTAGTATTGAAGCCCAACATGCATTTCCGAAACCTATAAGGCTGCTTAAAGCCTAGACTAGATATGTCACGCACGGCATCCGAAAGATGCGAACCCCCAAAAGCTTTAATCCCTTTACCATAGGGTCCCAGACTATAATCATACTACGCTATAGTAAATCTCAAAACCGAATCTTCTAAGTACTCAGGCCTCTCTATTCTACTTTGAGCGAAAGAGTTCCAGCGAGGTCGAAGAATGCGCTCAGTTTCGGCAAGTTTCAGTTCGAGGCTGGTCTCCGCCAAATATAGAAGCCTGCAGACTTGGAAGAGTTATTCCTGTTAGGGTTCAGGACTTAATTATAGGGCAAGTGTAGACTCAGTAATGCTATTTATTAGGGCCCTCGGGTTCCTAGTAGAACTATATAGCTTAATATACCGAAAGCCCTAATGCCCCATATACAAACCCGATCGTGCACAGGGCAGCGGATTTCAGTGTAGGACTCGGAAGGTCAATTGAGGCAAACACTATTCTCCCTGATGAGTTGGCAAGCCCTTTCATTCATTCAGATTCAACACTCTCAAGCGATCGAAGGCCGAAGGCCATCTTGAAGTCGATCCTAAACCGTGACTCCGTAAAGCCGAAAGAGCCTTTCAAGAGTGAAAACCGTCCAAAACCATGCACAAAACCTTACGAGCCTAGAGCCCTAAACCCGTGATAGCAGCTGAACCTTTAGAGCCTTAACCCTGCAAGTTGTCGCTCCTTTTACTTCTAAATGCTAGCATCATTAAAGCCCTCAAAGCCTGAAATCCATACCCCGAAGCTTTTAGGGCTCTTTCTTCCGCAGATCGGTGCGCGAACGAACGGGCGGCATATCCTTCGCTTCGACTTCCTCGTGTTGGATGAGAAAAGCGAGGTGCCGGGACAGGTTAAGGGGAGGGGGGGTTGAGGTTTTTTAGAGAGAGGGGTTTAAGGTTTTTTCAGGGCTGTGGCTTGGGGTTTAGGCGTTTCCGGCAAGGTAGAATCCGCGGTTTAGGAATTGGTGGGGGCGACATCTTGAGCTTGGGCTCAGGCTGTGGATCAGGAGGCCATGGTATGAGATGAACGAGCTAGGTAACTGCGAGCCCTTTGTAGGATTACAGTACAGTATATGGTTGTATTATGTATTTGTTCTAACAGCAAGGTATGGCTCTATCAAGCGTTCGAAGGTTATAGGGTTTGCTCGTTAAAGACAAGGGTGGGTCTAGTTTTGGAGCCGGATTCGGCTGATAAGACTAGGGCAGCACTGCAAAAGAGGGACCCTCATGAAGAGATATGCAGAGTGAGGCAGGTGGGGTTGATATGAGCACGATGATGCTGGTGCTGCCGCCGATGTTGGTGACGAGTGTGTAGCACGACATGGGTTATGAGGGTGGTCGTCTGCAAAAAAGTTCTCTGGGGATGATGACGAAGAAGCTGACAGCGATTATGAAAACGAAGTTGATGGCAGGGTATAGCGCCACGATGACAAGTGGGCGTTGAAGCGTCCGTGGCGTGGCTCCCTTTTGTCGAGTGATACTACGCATTTGACGCAAGCTCGCCGGCGTCCCGAGTTTAGTTTATTTGTCGCAGCCTCGCGTGAAACCACTGACTTGCCAGGTCGTGCAGGAGTTTTCCACAGACGTCCCGATGGAGGCTGCAGTCCATGAGCACTTCAAGAGAAACTGCCGTAAACAATGCATCTGTGTATATATATATATATATATACATACGTATATATGTAGTTATATGTAGAGCTTGACGTTGAGGAAACTGCGATGGACAGAGGACGCGCCCTAACAAACAAGCCCAGCAGCATCGCCAACGGCAGAACAGTAACATAGGCAACGCATAGCTCCTGATCGCCGATGTCCTTTCCACCGGCCAAGGAAAACCCCTAAACCCTAACCTCTTCCGATGGCGCATGGAGTTTGAATTGCGGCTTCCGGACTCTCCGAGCCGTGAAGGTCATCCCTAAGGCCTTAAGCCAAAAACCCTCACAGCTGGAGTCCGTGGCAGGAGAGCCACGCTAACGCGAAGTCTCACCTCTAGACATGCAAGTGCAGTATAAGCACACCTCAGAATTTTGTTCTAGCCTTTTCTGCTTTTTCCGGCATCTGTACGTGAAGCACAAGTACAACGGATTTCATAGTGTAAAGTACATATAGGAGTTTCCGAATATTAGGGGTACGTTATCTTGGGGTCCTTATTATAAGGATCCTACTATTTGGGGTACTATATTAGGGTCCCCTATTTTCGGAAATTCCCATATAGGGCACAGGAATGCATGAAGACACTGCTTCGCACCATGGCCGGCCTTCGATTCACAAGCGGGTCCGTGACACCACCCAAAAGCCGATTCAGCCCATGAGCCATTGAAGACATATGTAATAGGGACGAAGGAGTAGCAACTGGAATTGATGTTGCCTAGTTACCTTTCAAGTCCCTGTAGAATGTTTGTCAACGTTCCATTCTACATCACTCAGCCTCTGGCATTAGGCCTTCCGACCCTCCAACGTCTCCAAGAGTGCAGGCTCGAAATCTTTACCTCTGAACCAGAAAGAAATCTGCTCAATGTGGTGTGGCGTTTCGCAAGAACCTTCAGTGCTGCATCTCGAAGCTCTAATTAGAGATCTTGGAAAGCCTAAACCCCAGACCGCTCAAGTTCAAGAAAACATCTCGTGATTACAATTTTCAGAGCTCTAGCTGCCGTGGGTGTGGGTTGGAATTAGTAACTTGTTTCACGTTGTTCGCTTGCGCACTCCGAGAGAGCTCGCCTGGCTTGTCCGAGTTGTGCGCCAATCCTCACACTAGAGGAGTCCACACGATTGAGGAAGGAGAAGGACAAGACCGTGCAGGGGCCCGGCACCCAGCTCTGCCCCAAAACTGCCATTGTTAGCTGTATTCGGGAGTACTATGCATTGTTTGCTTGTTTTTCAGTTGTGCTTTAAGGGTGGTGTTGCATGCTTTTAGCGAAACCAAAAAGCCTCAAGGCCTTAAGCTGCTGAGCCCTAAAACTCCATGAAGCACCATTTTCAGCAAGCCGTCGGCTCTGGAACCCGCACATTCAAAAAACCGTGCACCCTAGACCCAAAGTAATCCCCAAACCCTAATTGGACGCACAAATCGAGAAGCGCCGAATCGAACCTCACAAAAACTCTATGAAACGCTACAGATTGGCCGGCTTCTGGTTACGCTGAGGAGTTTCGAAGGCCTCCTGCCCGGGGAGCTCTACTCTATGAAAGCCCGCGTTATCAACGCAGCCGGGCTCTTAGCCTTTGGTTTTGCTGGGCTTGAAAATTCCCTAAGCCTTTGCAGGTGTTTATTATATAGCCCGCCATACAAGAAAGTGTTTTGCTAGGTCAAGGTAGGGCGTTGGGCCTAGGATGTACTGTAGGGCTTTGGGACTAGGGTTTATGGATTTGGACTTTCGCAACTTTGGCTCTTGCGTGTATGAGGGCCTCGGTCAGGGATGAGCCGACAACTCTCTCAATGAGGTAAGGGTCCTTCAATGCAGTAGAGTAAGGATTTTACGGATTTTGTTTGTGCTAGGCTGTTTTTGCTGCAGGGCAAAGAATAGGTACTGCAGGCATGTCGTGGGATCTTTGCTTGGCGGGATCTGGACCAGGCCCGCTTTTCGGGAGCATTAACACGCGGCCGTGATAGGTGCTGGCAGCGGAGGTAGGAAAGTCGACCACGAGGCCCCCACCCAAGGCCCCAGACACAAACATAAAGTCTTAAATCCCATCCCAAACCGCCCTCCATAAAACGGCACAGACCCAAGCCCTAGCTATACCTTAACCCTGAAGGACCTACCTTTTAAGGACTTATTATATAAAGAAACCATCATAAGGAACCCTAAAAAGGCAGGAAATTCAGGGTTAAGGTAGACCTTAACCAAAATCCACGGACTCATGCAGGTCGGGCCCTCCCAGTGGTCCCCAGATGGAGCTCTAGTGCGCATGCCCGCAGATGCCGGAAACTTAGAGTGATGACAATGATCATAATTTATTAAAAATGAGCAATTAATTATTTCATATAAAGCTAATAATATATATATATATATATATATAATAATGTTCATCATTGCGAGCATGGTTGCCATTATCATTATCATGGTTGTTGTGGTCATGATGAGGAGGGTGATTTTTATTATCTGGGTGATTTTAGCAGGCTTCGGCTGCCCAGAAAACAAGGGTTCCCTAAATTCGGAAAGTGCACGAGGCCCTATGCACAGGCTTAAACCCCAAGCCCGCAAGGGATCCGAAACCCTATAAAACTCAAACCGTGGGTGGGGACACCTGGATGGCCAGAACCGACGACACTCAACATTCAAGTCGAAACCTAGATTGTTAGCATGACTTGTGGAGGTGATGATGATGACGATGACGATGGTGACTTCTACGAATTCCTGCTTGCTGAAAGCAGGTTGAGGGACAGGGGTGTGTTATAGGGGTCTCAATATGTAGCAGCAGTATTGCCGGACAGTCTTTAGCATAGTTATACGAGACTACGTCCCCCAAAGCCGTCTTCCAATTATTCAGCGACAGCGCTGTTAGACTCCTTCAGAAGTAGCCCTTGTAGCAACATGTAATGAAGCCCTCTTCTGTTTAGTAAGATTCTTTTGGGGTTTCATTTTTTGTGGTCAAAAGGGCAGCAGGGCCTTTTTTTATGTGACAGGTGCCCAATGAGCCAGCGCCTCTGAGTTCGGAGCTGACATCCTTGGAGTTCATCGAAGTGAAATGGTCGGTGCCCAAGCTGTTGAGTCGTCAAACCTGTGGGGGGCGCATGGTAGGTCACCGTTGCTGTGACGTTTTAGGCACCCTGAGCCGTAAGCGGTAAAGCCTAAAAGCTTAAACCCTAAACACTCTAAACCTTGCCAGGCTTTGTGCGAGTGTAAGTGTCAAAACACTCTAAATCAAAGGGCTGGGTTGGTGCACTGAGCCCCTAAGTCTCTTGGGAGCCTTCACAAGTGGGGTTTATATGGGCTGGAACTTGTTTGCTGGCGTCTTGCCTGTTGTTTTAAGGGTTTTTTTCGAGTGCAAGGGTGGAGGGATTGGATTTACAGGCTGCAGAAGCCTGAGGACTTACCAACACTATTCATTCAGATTCCATCTTGAAACTACGCTCCTATATATCCCGAAACCCACCTAAATCATGAAGGCCCCTTATAGTGCTTGTGCTTGGTTGGCTGGAAGTTCTCGCGGTTTGGCCTCCGAGGAAGCCACCGATTGAGAACGGCGCAGAGATTGAGAAGTACGAGCTGAGGCCATTTTCGATTTCCCGGATGCGGAGTTGCACGGTTGGTGTTAGGGAAGTTGGTTTTAATTTATACCTTAATAGGGATCCATAGTACATGAATGCGGGGCCCTTATTCTGGCAACTGAAATGATGTTCCAAAACAAGGACCCCATTTACGGAAGAATAAGGGACAACTATCGGTCTTCTGTCGCCGGAGCACTGCTCTCTTGCTGTCATGTGACAGATGGATCTTTGGATGAGCGTCCTTCCCTGAATAAAACATATACAAATAGCAAGTATGCAATGGGTATAGAAAGACGGAGCACCAGCTAGTCGGGCAGGGGACTTGCACGAATTGAGCATCCAGGTCTTTTTGTGTTCACGCTTCTGCAATCGAGCTCGGCTGTGCCTGAGTTCTCTAAGTATTGCGTGTGCAGAGCACCTGAGGTCTTGTTCTTTCTCAGGGCTGAGCATGCCCGAATTACGAAAGGCTGGCATTGCGACCAGATGCCATCGAGGAGGAATGGTATGCAGCTTAGCCATGTGACCCCCGAAGTCATAGAACCGGTGACAGAAGCCGCGAAGAAGAGAACATGCATGTTTCAGATCCCGCGTGCAGGCCTCAACCAAAACCAGAGGGAGTCTAGCCCAGCTGACCCCTAGGCCTTAGTCAGCTAGGCAGCTAGGCGTGCAGTGGTCAGCCTAGATCGCGGCAGCTTCGTGGGCCACCGGGGGGTTTAGAACCGCAGCAGCAATGTGCTCGGTACGTTTATGGGCGACCTGCTATTTTCCTGCTGCCAAGGATTCTCATCGACCCGGAAGACCTCAAGAGCAACACCAAGGCCCCAGTCAGATTACAGTTGCTTCTGTGCGGTTTTCCACGTTGCAACCGGGCTACATGACGACGGTTCCATGGCAAGTACATAGGCTCTGTAGCATTCGCAGTACGCCTACCTAGAATCTAGAGTCAGAGCATATCAAACCGCATCAAGCAGGTCTTCGCCAATCCCTGAGGCCTTAATAAAAGGAGGCAGTCGCAACTAGCTCTGTGATTCCCGCATGCTTTCTTTCTGTGACCTGACCCCGACATAAAAGCGGAACAAGAAACTGCATACCCCGTTGGCGAGTTTTAAGCTTAAAGCCCCTTAGGACTTTCGCCACATTTTGTCCATTTCCCCCAAGCCAAAACCCTAGAAGCACTAAGCCTTACCCCCCATGAGCCCTAAACGCCAAGCCCTTCAAGAGGTACAAGGCTCGGATCTCAAGCGGCTGACACACAAGGACCAGGCCAGTTTAGACGGAAGACGCTTCAGGGCTTATGGTGGATGCAAACTTACAGTGGTGCTACGGTTAGTGGTCGCATGATTATAACTTACAGCTGTTTAGCCTCTCATTAGCATCACCATGATTGCGATAATTGTCGCAGCTGTATGTTCGGGCCCAGTCCGAGGGCAGTTCGGGTTGGGCCAGAGCTTCGTTACGTCAACTGGCCGAAGGTCTTCAGATTGGACATATGGGAGTTTCCGGAAATAAGGGGATCCTACCATTTAAAGTTCTGTGTTAGGGTCCCCTACTTTCGGAAACTCCCATATGACATAAGCCAAAGACTCCTAACCTTCGCCCTTGCAAGGTGATGTCAAAGTATACCAACGCGGTTCCTGAGGATGTCAGAGCTTTAGGACTGGCATTACAAGGGTACTTGTTGGGGCTACGAATTCCAGAAACTAAGGCTTTCACCAAGGAAGCTGCGACATGTTGGTCTTCTGAGATTGTCAGTTTGCTACTATGGGGTACCATAAGATACCCCAGATACCGGTTCCAAGTTGTCTAGCTCTGCTCATGTAGTTTATCCAAACAGCACCAGTAAACCAGGGCAGCTATGCCTTCCGCGTCCACGGCTTGAGAGGCAGGCTTCAACTGAAGCGCTCGGTGGTCGAGTTTGTGTATAGGATTTCAGGGTTTCCCAATGTTAGAGACACTTTTGGTATAGAGCGTTCTTTTTCGATGTGGAGATTCCTTTAGATTTCACTATCCATCTCCCAACCTAGACAGCTAAAGGGCGCATGAGCCCGGGCAAAAAGCCCCAAGTGTGAAGCTGCCAGGGTTGAAGGTGTGGGGCTAGGACTAAGCATGAAGTCCCTGGCGCCTGACTGCTTAGCAGGTTCGCCGGCTCAGGTTTCAATAGAAGTGCTGCTGCTTTGATGGGCACATCCATGGATGCCCTGAGCCGTTTCAATTGCGGATCACTTCGGTGGTTTAGGTTCGGCACTCAAGTATCGGGTGTGAAGCTGGCGACCGTTTCTGCAGACCAGTTGCATCTACGGTCACACCATTCTGCACCTGAGGCGTAGACGGTCAAAACAGAGGAAGAAGGCAGATGCACTCTGTGTAGTCGGAGGAAGATTTCCCGTAAACGCTTAAAGACTGAGAAGTGTGCATGCACACCTACGGTGCATGAAGCTAAAGCTGACTGCCTAATCGAGGAGGAGTGATGTGGAATCTGCATACAAGACTCAAAAGGACTTGGATACCTGCTGAAGTGGGGTCAAGCGCTTGAGGTCCCTTACGCCCAAGGGGTGGGACACTCGTCTTGTTGTGCTCCTCCTGTGGACCCGCACGTGGTGACCTGGTCGGCCTTGGGATTGTACTGCAAGACCTCGCTGCAACCTGTGGCCAACTCCCCAGTAGTAGTGGTTCAGGGTTTAGGCCTCAGAAAGGTCAAAGACCAGCCTTTCCGACAATCATCTGTGCAAGAGAACGGCGTGGTAGTATTCCTGTTTGCCTGTCCTCCCGCGGTCAGATGGCACGACGTACTTCTTCACGCACAGGGCATGCAACCGCCGCTCGCAGCGAAGGGGTCCGTTTGAGATGAGAAGACAATAGAGCCCCAGTTTGTTACTGATGTAGTTCCTGCCTGACCAGGTATGCACAGGAACGGGGCAGGGTCGATTGGAAACTGTTGATCTCCTCAGCCTGCATGTCTTTGCAGTGGGTGGACAATTGTTCGAGCGCTTTTCCGTCTAAATGTAAAGCATCACAGAACCATGAGTAGCGGGAGTAGGGGTAGGGCGTGGAGCATTGAATCTCGATCAGTGTATAGACTCAACCCTAAACCCCTAAACCTACACCCTAACTCCTTCATGCACTAAACGAGGAGTCGGACTAAACCTCGTAAGGGCCTGGCGAGACGGAGCTGGTAGTAAGCGCTTGGGACCTCTGGCATGTTAATTTATGCTTAGCCGGGGACCCTTAAACGAAGCTCCTCAGGCAGGCCAGAACTCAGCATACCACCAAGTGCAGGAGTCACGCTCACGGCCCCATCAGAGACCTGTGAACACCAAAATGGAAGGCATACGCATCCCTGAACCACATGGCCTCTAGCACCCTAGCCCTAAACACACCGATAAATCCTAAACCAAAACCCCTGGCCCTCCGACCTACAGCTGGAGTCCCATGAACCTGTAAAGGAGCCGAAGCTCCTTTGAACCCAAGGCGTCGGCTGCAGTGCTTGGTCGGAGGCTATCTGAGCGATTTCTGCTTCCCTGGAGCCAACCGAGAAACTTCCTTATTATCATGATGGTATAATGTGCGCCAAAACCCTATTCGAAATATTAAGGCCCCTACATCCGTAAATCCCTTATAATACCCTTCTAGACCCCTTTTTAACATTCAAATTGTTAAGGCATTAGACCGGAAGCCAGGGTTCACGGGTTCAGGCGAGGCTAGGAAACGTAGGCGCCAAGGGCTTCGGGAGGTGGAAGGGACAGTTTTGGGCGGTTTAGGGTTTAGGTTTTGCAGTTGAGGGAGAGGGGTTGGTATGTTTCTGGAGGGCTTAGAACCCACGGGGTTCCAGTTACCACGACTAGGAAAGTGTAACGACGACAAAGGTTTCCTTACGACGAGGTCCTACCATCAACGTACAACAAAGGTAGAGGCATGACAGTGCACGACAAGGTGCAGACAAGGCAGACAGTGCTTATATTCAAGGGCTCCTCCGTCGGGTAAGACTCATCCATACCAGAGAAGATAATACAGACGATGAGAGGTTTAGAAAATTGCACCAGAGCAGCAACTTACGATCGTCTTTAATCAAGAAACACAAGATGTACTGGCCCAGAAGAATAATGCACAGTTGCGTTACTGTCAGTAAAGGTTGTCCCAAGCAAGGTACGTTTTTCTTGCCGCTGCAAATACACTGCCCTTGTCAAATTTATGGCCGTTTCTCCTGTCTTTGTCGGTACGGGCTGTCCTTGTCAAGTTATGATCTGTTCTCCGGTCACCGCATGTAGAGAGGTTGTCATTGTCAAGTTCCGGTCTCTTCTGCTGCCGCAGTAGGAACTGCAGTTTTGTCAATGTAAAGGCACTCTGCCCTGCACAAATCCTGTCATGATGAGAGCAGGTGAGTCCTGTCATGGTTACAGCGCTCCCTCTCATACCCTAGGATACGCTGGGGCGACAAGGTTTTCAAATTCAGTATTGTCTTGACGATCTTGGCTTTGATGGTTTTGGGCTGCTGTTCCGAAATGATTGCGGCAATCTTGAAGCTATGCAGGGGTTTCCAAACATCCCCAAGCTCCAACAGTATGAGCTCTGTACTCCCCAAGTCATGTTGTACCACCGCATTTCACCCCGAAGCTCAAGTCTCAACGTTACATTGTGCAGGTCACCAAGTTCAGCACCAAGAACTCGAAACCGGCTCAGTTGACGGACTTGTGGGAAGAGTCCGAGCACCGAGCTGAGACGTGAAAGCTCGGGAAACTCCAAATTGGCCTTGTCCAAAGGAGCTGAAGGGCATCATTTATGGAGCCTCCTTGTACTTGTAGTAAAGCCACTGGTAATGTTATGAAGTAGAACTGTGATGGGTGGAGATTTGGAAGGACTGTAGCTTTGTGACGACTACAGAGGAATCATTTGCAATGGCGCAAGGCCACCCATCCTGTTCTCTTGATTGTCCCAGAGGTGTGTTTCATCGTTTTCTTGGACTTCATTTTTCGAACTGTTTCTGAAGTCGCCAACCGATATGCCTGCGCCCGCTGTGCACTGACATATGAAGCTGTCCAACATCTCGCCTTATGTCCACAACGACCCTGAATGGGTACGTTTGGTATTTCACATGTTGCTGATCTCCGAATATCATCCACGAACTCCGACAAGTTCTTCGAATTCAGGGAGTGCTGTCCTGTCTTCGACAGTGCTCACACGTTGCCAGACTGTGGCTGCAAACTGCTAAGCAAGACGACTAAGAGTGGTTTGTAAAGATACATAAAACAGGAGAATCAATACACGGTGCTCTTGATAAGTGGGGCCAAGGGCTGGTTCCCTTCTCTCGTCCGTGCCAGAGGGATCATCCCAAAACCCAAGCCCATGTGCGCTGAGAACATGAACCCATGCGCTCTTTTGGCAGCTGCGCAGTCCCCCAACTTAAAGCGCGGTTGAAGCCTCAATCCACGAGTTCCTTGCACACCTTGAACAAAAATGCTCCGTCCCAAATGGAAAAAGCTCCGGTCCTTGTGGCAACCACTTCGTAGCTGAAGTGACTGCCCCCCACTCTTGGACCTCGCGACCTAGTGATGGTATGCACAGACAGAGAGCGAGAGAGATTGAGAGATAGAGAGAGAGAGGGAGAGAGAGAGATAGAGAGAGGGAGCGAGGGAGCGAGGGAGCGAGGGAGCGAGGGAGAGAGGGAGAGAGGGAGAGAGGGAGAGTGGGAGAGGGTAGCTGAACCAATGAAAGCTCACGCCCTGAACCCCGAAGCGCCCAGTTCGACCACCAGCCGGGAAGTGACGATTGCCTGGAACCCACCCGAAACAAACGGCGTGGAGCTCATGCGCTACGTGGGCCCGGCAGACGTTTGAAGGGTGCCATGAGGTATATCATTGCGTGTCTTGATAAGTAGGTGTAGGGGGTGGATCTCTGGAAATGGGAACCCAGAGAGGTGAGATAGACAGGGTGAGTGATACAACATATGCAAGGTCTTCTAGATGTTTCGAAAGGTTCAAGTTCATGATTCGTT